AAGAAAGAAAGAAAGAAAGAAAGAAAGAAAGAAAGAAAGAAAGAAAGAAAGAAAGAAAGAAAGAAAGAAAAGAGATTGACCTTCTTGTCTTTCCCCTCTCAAAGAGATCCAGTAAAATGTTCTGTTTTGGTCTTTTGTAGAAAGTGAAGACATCTTGAACCCTCTTTGACAGGTTTCATTTCAAGGAAGGCCCTCTACCTTTCAGCGCAATACTTGGAGAATTGTGCCCATAGCATCCCTCTATGGGGCAATTGAGCAGGTCTCACTTTGGGGGTTACATCATATTGAAAGCAGAAGCCTTTGTCTTCCTGTTCCACTTTGCTATGTGTGTCAATTAACATTTTCCCAAATGGGAATTCAATGTAGAGGAGCCAATCGAAATAATTCTGAAACAAAATACTGTTTTGTGGCATGCTTCCCTCTTCAAGATATTTTGCAATAGAACTGTTGTGCAATTTTTTTAAAAAAAACCAGATTAAATGACTTCTGAAATCTTTTACAAGCCTAACTACACGTACAAGACAAGATGCGATCGTATTTAATGTTCTACTTCCAGGGAGCATAAGTCGGTGTCTCTTTGTTGCTTGCCCTATTCCCATTTTACTTCGTCCTTGAGCAGAAAGTTCATTAAATTATATTGCTCTTCAGCCTGCCTGATGACAGAAGACATTTCTACCTGTCTGGGTTTTTTTTTTTAAATTATTATTACTGTGTTCGTTCCTCAGTTGATGTATAGTGTGAGAGGAGGCTCGGTCCTCTAAAGCTTTGAGTTTGCAATAGATGTACATGGTGTCCCAGGAAAACTGGCAAGTAGCCCATTATACTTAAAAGAAGAACAGTAAGGATGAGAAAAAGATGTTTCTAATTTCTTTGGCAAAAACCTCTTTGGAGACTGAAGCCTTTATTTGCAGCCAGGCAAAGAGGTAGAAGGTCTTTTCGGAGTTGTTTATTGCCAAAGACGAAAGCCCGAGTCGTCTGCTGAATTATTGCTCCACAAAAGGCATGGCTACTCCTGAGAGAAGGCCCCCACCCTCTTCACAAGAGGTCTTAATTCATTTGCTCTTTTATATCTAATTATCACTGTCTGATTCAGACCGTTTCGGAGAAAGGGCAAGTTTGAAGCAAGTGCCTGCAAAGGGAGCTGTCCGTGGTACTGAAAATAAAATGGCTTTTACTGGAGATAGTTGCCAATGTTATAATGGCTGTGGCTGTAAATTAGCAGAAATTTAGTTAAAATCCATCCAGGGGTTAGAACAACTTGCTTTAACCTATTGCGAGGTGCTGCTGCATACAAAACTAGTTGCATGCTTAATTGTAATTCTGGAGTAAACTTGCATCTAAGAGAGGTTAAGATACAATTTCCAGATACCAGTAGGCTAGAAAGATATGTCTTCTGATGTCATATTTCAGGTTTTCTGTACTTATTTGTGAAAGCATTTAGGGCTTTTGATTATTTTTATCAAGCTACTGTACAAACTATAGTAGCATTTACTTAATCATTCTGTGTTTGTTTTTAT